AGGTGTGCAAAGTCCATACAGTTGCTTAACATTGCCTAACGTGGCTTTACCCCGCTCCACCCACAGTGAGGTGTAGCCAGTGCAGCCAAGAGGATGGCACACACTGCTTGGGCACCATCTGACCTGGCTCACCTACAAGTGTGGAGTTTATACACCCAACACATTAAGAGTGATGAGATCTTCATTCATGGAAAAATAGGCAGCACCTAGATTTAGATCTTAAATGAGAGAGAACTTTTCAAAATGTTCAGGGTTGAGGGCTTGTACTGCTATCCCAGGTAGGAGGGGCCATTCGGCATGGGAAGTGGAAGGGAAAGTCAACAGGAGAAGAGTTATCCTTTTTGACCTGAGCTCTTAGGTATGGGTAGCTGTTACATTGAGAGTACTGCTAACAAATAGAAAGGAATACCAGAAGAACAAACAGACAAAAGTGAGTCCTTAAAAATGCCTATTCCAAGTGCCAAAGTCAAATTTAAGAAAAGAATTGCAGCTTAAGAGCAGTGAAATTCTATACTATCAGATAAAAGGCAGTGAAAGAAGGGAAAAAGAAACAGATGCAGACAAATAATAGAGGGCCTGTAAGACAAAAAGTGGGAACATAATGTAGACTTTCCAATAGACTACTTTGCTATTCTGGATTTCAGTAAGTACCCCTGGGACTGCAGGGAGAGATTTTTTCTCTAGTACTATTGCAAACATGTCCTTGTGGGAAATTGGCCTTTACCAGGCTAGAGCAGTCTAGCCTCTTTAAACAGTCTTTCAGCAAATGTCTAATCCATTAACAAATTAATTTCTGAATTTCAGACCATACTGATAGTGGACATACAGTGTTCCCAGTAGAATACAAAAATGAGCAGTTTCCTGTCCTAAATGAAGCCTTGACTGTTGTGAAAAATCATTCTTATGGCCTTCTGATAGCATGTCCTGTGTTGCTAAAGTTTTGTGTTTTCCATGGCACAAGTTCTGGCCTCTGTTGGAATGGTGGTTTTTATATCACAGTCTGTCTTGATCTCTGTATTAGACCCTGGGGTTGGATATCTACCTGTAGGTAGCCAGTGGCCTAACCTTGTTCATGTAACATAAATGCTGTAGTCAGTCCTAGTCATAGGATGTACCTTCTTTCGAATAAGAAACAGTAAAGTGTATATGGAATAACCCACTTCATGCAGAAAGTTGATTCTTGAATGTTTATTGATGGCTAACATTGATGTTCTCGTCTCCTCTGCTACTTCCAGAGAGAAAAAGTGGCCGAAAAAGAACTGGATTTAGCTTAGAGAGCCCAGTCTGAAAATATATCATGACTGCAAAAGCATCAATTAAAACTGACCCCACCTTACTCAGGAGACCTGTACAGTATGTGGATTAAGATCAGACATGATAACTTCTAAGGCACAAGCAAGTTATTTTCCATTGCCTCATGACTGACAGCACTGTACAAGCACAGCAAATAAGAATAATCAGAAATAAGCTCACAAGAAGCTCATCTTTTAATTTTTTCATTACTAGGGATCACAGGAAAGGCAGAAGGAAGCAGAATTCTGAAGATATCAGGGAAAAGACTATTGCAGGGATAAAATAAATAGCAATTAAGTAAAAAATGGAGTCTGCTTGATCAGGACTCACTAAAAGAAAGTAACAGGAGACTGTGGTACCAGGCCTCAAGCAAAGAAAGGGCTGTTTTGATGACTGTCCCTTGCTGGTCAGACATATGAGTGCCCCTAACAAACAGGGAATACTGAAGGTGTTTGATGGTGTTTCTGAGCAGACAGGAGTACATCCAGGGGGAGAGACAGAAATGTCCTGCAGGGAGCCGATCTAGAAAAAGCCAATTTCAGGACAAAGCATCAGCAGTAAATTGATGTTTATAATATTTAAGTCATCTGTAAAGGCAATATGATGATGTGTTGTGTAAGGAGCAGAGTCAGGCCAGTGATTGCTTCTGTGTGTTTTAAGTAATACAATATGACAGACCACATCAAATCAATGGTGCTGATTAATGAACAGCTCTGGAAAGGTAGCTAACAAGAGATGAAAGGGTCAAGACACAAATTTCAGGAGGGAAAAGGAGGATCAGTGCCTCAGAATATAGAGTTATGGTCCAGGAGTCCATTAATCATCAGCACTATTAGGTAAAGTACCACATTTTCTCCTGACTTTATGCCCACTGCAACTACACTGAAGTCAGTATAAAACTGACCTAAAGTGTACATCTTAAATCACAATCTGTAGTACATCACTGCTATCATAAAAGGGACCTTCCTTAATAAAAACACTGATAGAATTAATGTGTCTTACACCCTCTAAATTAACAGATAAAGCTTGGAAAGATCAAGGTGGGATAAAAGTGAGCATATATAAAATGCCCAAGTTATTACCATTAGTGGGAATATTTAAGTAATAAAAGTCTGCATTTCTGGAATGCATTCATGCAGAAAACTTATCCTCCAAAATCTTAATTAAGCACACAGTACCTCACGGAGCAGGAATGTAAGGCTTTCCTTTTCCAGATAGAGGAGCCCAGGTAGAGAGGGGGGAGTTACTTAACCCACTGTCACACATCCCATTGCTCTGTTGTCCTGCTTGCCTCTCTTTTTGCCCAACCTTCTTATGGTCATAGATCCTTTTCCTCTAACTTTTCCCAAAACTAAGTCTTCTAGAAAAATTTGAAGTGTTTCCTTCTCTGTTGCACCCCCCATGTCTTCAGAAACACCATCAGTTTTGTTGATTTTATGTATTTTAAAAGTACCTAACAACTGATGAAGATCTCTGTGCTTTATGTTCATTTCACTGGAGGAAAGAGATATCTCTTCCCAGGCCATAGAAAAAAAAAAAAACAGAGCAAAATGAAGATATTTTAAGTATTTCACAGAGATTTCTGCGCCCAGATTTTGTAGAAGACTTTGAACAGCCCATCTCTAACAACTTGTCTGCCTGACCCTTGATGTGAAGCCAGATTGAGTGCTAGGCAGTGCTACAAGAGAGAGCTACTTGGATTGGGATCCCAGAGATTAGAAGAGCAATAATGGCAAAAAAAAAGAAATGTGACAAAATATGCAGGATTAGTACATGCAGTTCTTAGGCTTCTCTTGTGTGAAATTAGGAGTGAAGTGAGCAGGAGTTCTGCAAAGTAAAGACTAAAGACCAAATCCTGTGATTTTTCTGCTTCTAGTACAAGTTAAAAATGCGTGTTAACTGAAGTACTAGGCAGTCTTTAGGGCGCATGGGATTTGTGCCTTAAAAAGGTGAGGAATAGCCAGATAAAAGACAGACCTATATGTGCAAGGTGGATAAAAGAAACAAGGTCAGCATTAATAGAACAGGTGGGGCATATATGGAAGTGGGAAGGAGAGCTTGAAAGTAAGCCATGCTGAGTGTTAGCAAGGGCTTAAATCTACAGAATCCTTGGGCATTACTGCACCTTTGAAATTCAATTCTTGGTACTGGTGAAAGGTGTCACTGTTTTATGTAATTCTTTTGAGCTAACCTGATGCTGACATATGGTTCCTCTCTCAAGCCCTGATGAAACTCAGAGGTTCGGGCTAAGTTGAGGATTTCTGTGTGTGTGTGTGTTTGAATTTACTTAATTTGCAATTCAAAGCAGACTCCAAGAGGGAAGAACCTACAAAAACTGGAATCAAAGAAAGTGTTTGCTTGAGCCCCTGTGAAGTGTAGCTGCCAGGTTTCATGTGGCCTGTTGAAATCAGTATGTAGGATCTATCCCAGTCACTAATATTCATCATCATTACAAGATGTGTGAATCGAACATAAAACCGAATGTATATTTTGTGAAGTACATTATTACAGTGTCATCTAAAATCCTTCATTGTGTCTGTTGGCACTTATTCCAGTGTTCCTGCTGCATGAACAGTGGGGTTTTTATATTGTTTTGCATTTACAGACATAAATTCCGACTTGCACAGTGACATTAGCTACCTGTGAAATAACAATTACATCTCTTATCATTCTTTGTTCACCTTCTTGATTTTTTTTGATAAAGCAAATATTTATTTGCTTTTCTTGTCTGACCAGAGTAGGCAAAATCATTTCTTCATGGAAATAGCACCAGTGGCTTCACTGTGGGTAGGACTGAATATGCTGATGTCCCAGGAGTTCTTTGCATAAGTGAAGTAAGCAGGATTTAATTCTCTCCCTGGATGTTAACTGCAGACATACTTCCAACATCCACAGTGAACCACCCAAGGATCATAGGAAGCTAGCAAAGGCGGAGTTCTATTAGTCTAGAGAGGGATTCAAGTCCCCTAAAAATGTACATACTTCCAAAAACTTTGATCTGGATGGTGAAATCACCCTCTAATAAATATTGGAGCTGAGGTTTTTCTGTGGATCCCTTTCTATATTAGTCCATTGGTTCCAACTCTCTCTTTAGCTTAGGAGATTTCAGAGATAAAACTGCCACTGAGCTGAATCTTTCCTGCAAGGCTGACAATAAGTTACTTCCCTGGTGTCGCTGCAATAGACCTGGTGGCTGATGGGAGATAAGTGGGGTTTCTGCTTTGATATGAGCCATCATTTTTGTGATGTGAAGACAGCAAAAGACGCAAAGGAGGATTTTTTCCTTCCTTTTCCTGCTTTTCAGTCCTGAGGAAACATTTGTTGCTCCTCTGAACAGGACTAGCCTTGTTGTTCTGAGTATGCCAAGTTTGTGCTAGCTCTCCCATCACTGCTCCGTGCTCATGCCGTTAGAGTGAGCAGCTTCTCAGAATGAATCCTACTGATAGCACTTTGCTGGCTAATCCTCCCTCTCCTCCTCGCTTCACCAGATTAGTTGTATGGGCAGCCTGGGATAACTGGGGACTGATTCTGTGGTAATTTACAGCCAAAGCTGGACGGATTGAAGCAGGAAGAATTTGGTGCTACCAGGCTGCAGCCAGCTGTACTGACAGTGGAGAATGCCAGTTAGCGTTGTAGCAAATTTTCTTGCTCTCAGTAAATAATTATTATTTGCCCCTGACCTTTCCTTTTGATTCTTCCTGGTACAGACACAGCCTCTCTCTGTTCCCTGCCCCAATGAACGTCTGCACTAGGTCCAAGGCTTGGAGTAATTTACCTGAAGAGTGATACCATTTGGAAACCACTGTAAGTATATTTTATCTCTTATAAAAGACTTCTTGTTCAGCAAAAAAAAAGACATCTTAAAAAAACAAAAACAAACTGCAGCACCTGCAAGCCTTACTGATGAGGGTAAACTAAGTTTTGCTTTTGAAATTTGCAAGGAAATATGTGGGCAAAAAGTATGTCAATAAAAAACTGTTAAATATTTAAGTCATAGCCTCACAGCATAGTTCAGCAATGGCTGGTTTGATCTGCTTGTATCTTTTAGTTTGGCAGGTTCTCCCTACTTACTGCTCTAGTTCGTGCTGTTCTAGTTGGTTCATCCATGTTTGTCTTTGGAGTGTTTATCTTCTTTTTTATTCTTATAACTTTTTAATGAGACACCTTTTCTCTCACTGGTGTTTCAGGCAATACAGATGAAATCTACTGCAGCTCCTTAAAGGTTTACACTCTTCTTTTCGGGCCTTGAGTCATTTATAATTTAAGGCCATTATGATTTGTTAGATTTGGTTGGATTATGTAGATAAAGTTGTCTGAGAGAATTTTGACTTTGCATTGTGGTTTTATTATGCTGTGAAATGACCAGTTGTTTGTTACTTGCACTTTTCCCCCTGTAGATCCCATATTTTTAAATTCTTATGATCAGTTCTCAGTACTTGGTGGTATTGTCACAGTGTTGCTGTAGCTGAGATTCTCTGAGGTTTTAAGTCAAGCAAGTTTTGTAGCCAGGGCCCAACTTTCGTGAGACTTGTAGTTGAGACGGAAAAAACAGACAAATTCAGGGGCATGTAAACCCCACTTCAGGCCTAAAAAAAAGACACAGCAAATTTCACTCTAACTTAATCTCTGAGTTTAATTTAATTATGTTAATCAGTCTCCTGTAAGGGATTTTGGAGTTTATTTTACTTTTCTGTGTTGATTAAATTTTCCAGGCTTTTATTGCACTAGAACATTAGGTCTCTCTTGTCAGTTCTCCATGCCTCCCATTCTTGCTTTGCAGTGTTGTGCTGGGATTTCTCTTTCGTATTACATTTTATGGCGATGTTTTCAGGAGTTTATGTTTTCCATTGTATGACACAAACTTGCAATCAGAGATTTTAAACAAACTGCCAGTCATGTAGCTGCAACAGCATGAAGATCAATGTGGCTGCAAAATCATCAGAGAAGTTCTGTGAATATTCAGGCAGTCAGCCTGTGCAGGACTTTTAACTACTGAACAACACTTCTAGCAGGAAAACTGTGATGGCTCAGGTAAAGCGAGCTCATCTTGGGAAGCTTCACCCTCAGTTCTGGCGTTCAGTGTGCCCTGAATTTTGAGGTGAGGTCTCTGGGCAGATTTCAGTGTGTTTTGTTGTTCTTTTGAGCCTTTTTTTGTTTTATATTCAGTGATTGTACTCATCTCTCTCTCTCTTTACTTTGTCAGTTTTTAAATATGTATTGTCAATGTCATGTCTGGAAGAGACACAACACTGGCAGTGATAAGCACTGATATCAGGAGCTGTGTTAGCCGCACACAGGCAGAGGAAGAATGTGCAGCAGAACACTCAGGAAAAATATTACTTAAAATCAGACATGAACTATTTTCACACTCTTATTTTTAGGATCTGAAAAGCTGGAGGTTTTTTTTCAATTATATATAGCCTCTGTGAATTACTAAGGTTACAAACGAACTGTATACCAGTGAGTTAAGTGCAGTGCTTGCACACTACAGGCATCTCTGACCTGAGGGCACTTACTATAAGGTGATGCCATATCTGTGAGGAGGTGAAATAATGCCTGGAACATGGGTGGGCAGACTCAGGCAGCAGCAGCACTCATAACAACATCAGCAACCCTGTGGTGTGTTCCCTCCGTGCTGTTTAATATGCAATGAACAAAGGTCTGGTTGGTGACCCGGCCCTCCCTGTATTCAGAGGCTGAAAACTGCCTCATTATTGTTCATTATGTAGTATTATTCTCGTGCAGTCACATTATCATAGCTTCCCCTGAGAGCCAGGATGCTACTGTGGGCTCTGCGCGGCTACACTGGCTCCTATACCTGAGCTAATTTGTTCATTGCTAACCTGGTGTCTCTGCAGGACAGAGAGCTGTTCCCCTTGTAAAGAAACGTTCAAGCATTAGTTATAGCTGCTGGGTGAGAAGTACAACATGCATTGTCTATTTTTGACAGGGACCTGGTTTGCTGGCCCCGCTGTGAGAACGTGTTAACTCATCCAGGGGAAATTCATTCCAATGGTTGGAAGGGAGATACATGCAAAGAAGTCAACTGTGGAGAGCAAGTGGAGGGTCGAGGGAGAGAAAGCTGTATGCAAGAGTGGCAGCAAGAAAGGGGAAGTGTAGCAGGGGTTTTAAAGGCATTCCAAAGCTCAGAGGTAGTAATTAGTTTCTAGATAGCTTTGAGGTTAGGACATCCAAAATACTACCCATTCTGCCTTCAAATTAAACAGAACGGAGCCAATTCTAGTTTACAGCCAGTGCCCAGATCACTCCAGTCACTGCACCACTGTGAGTAGCCCACCACCTTGTTGTATGATAGTGCAGTGTTAAGGTATGTGGACAGGAGGGAATATCTCAGTGCAGTGAAGATACTGACAGAAAACAGAAATAAAATTATGGCAGTGATTGTACATCTTGCTTTACACATGAGCTGGCAAGGAGTGATATGCACAGTTCAGTGCAAGGAAAACAGTGGATGCAGTTAGCCTGATACTGGTACCGGAGAGCATACAATGAAGAAAAAAGAGAATCTATTTTAAGTGGTGTAAATTAACATAATGAAAATAAACACAATAAATATAAGGGAATGGTGAAAGTGAATACCAACAAAAGTACCTGAACATAGTATAGAAAATTTAAAGAGATGGAGTAGGTAAGATGTTTAGAAACAGACTGGATAAATCTCTTGTAAATCAGTAGCAAATATGAATTCTGCAGTGACCCTCTAGACTCAGATTGGTCTTAGAAAGGTCATCATCTTTTCTGTCCCCAACTTCTGGGAGTCTGTGCATCAGGTCCATGTACAGAAGTGCCATTTCTTTGCTATATTGGCCTTCTGCTGTCCTTCACAAGAGCAAAGACAATGATGGCCCTCTGATAATTTTAAGAATGAGTGCAGTATTGGAAAGGAGTTCTAATGCACCACGTGTGTGTGTGGAGAAGGAGCTGAGAGTTAACTGGATATCAGAAGGGAGCCCCTTGCTCTAAGAGCACATTCCCAAGTCTTTTGTAAATAAGTTGCAACTTTTATTGCCCTGACTAACAAGTAAATAGCAAACATCTCGTTTCCAGGATTAGTCTGTAGAGAAGAACATAATCACAAGAACTAAAATAGCAAGCTAGACTGACCCTAACTACTGAAATAATCACATAGGGTTGCCAATCAGTGAAGTCCAGAGATGGTACATAAGTAGGTATTGTTTGGGAAGGTTCCATGAACAATATTTATTACTTGTTTCATTTTCGCTCCTACACTTGTTCTTTCAGGGTTTTTCATGTAGCTGTAACAAGTCATACTCTTCCACAGTTAGTGTGCTATTTTAGCTTCTGGAACTTCGAGATATATTAGAGAGCTTGCTGATGGAAGTGTTCATAGAAGAAGTGTGCAATCAGAAAAAAATTAGGTTGGAAGGGTCCTCTGGAGGTGTCTAGTCCAATTCCCTGCTCAGAGCAGACCTGACTTCCAAGTTGGATTAGGTTACTCAGAGCCTTGTTCAATTAAGTTTTGAAAATCTCCAAGGATGGAGGTACCACAACCTGATTCAGCACTTAACAACTCTGCCTGTGAAAACTATAGTAATAACGTAGCAATAGAAGTAGACTATGTAAGAGAATGTAAGAATATTTAATTAGAATATATAGGTGAAGATCATAAAAATAGGAGCTTTCTATATGTGTGATAAGGTAGAACAAAAGGATTGCAATATACTTACAGCAACAGCAGGATTGTTCTGGCTTTGCCCTTGCTGGCTAAGAGCAGTCAGACATTGCAAACTGGAGAACTTTGGGTTTCTTCATAGGTAGTTTTGATCACAGTTTCCCCAGGATTTTTCTTTTCTGAAGTTTTCTTTAGATCCTTAGCTGACTTGGCTGATTCCATTACTCAGCCTTCCTCCTGTGGAAGCCTGCATTCCTTTCAGGTGGTACTGAGATGCAGAGCATGTCTAAACTGTGACAGAAATGAACTGCTGTGGAGAGGTATTGTCTCTAGTGCCAGTCAGCACCATTGCTATTCTTGCCATCCTAGTGAGCACAAGTCATCAAGCTGCAGGACTTGGATGTGGAAAAGTGATAACACAAGAGCATCTTGATAACACAGTGTCAACCTCAAGAGCAAAGTAGAAAATATATGGCTTTGGAAAGGAAGAAGCAGGGGTTGTTTTGCACAGCCTCCCTGGTGTCACTACCTGTTGCTATAGCATTTTTAACCTATCCCTCTAATGAGTTTTGAAGGCCAGGGAGGCACATGCAGGATCAGCCACAGGATGAAGCATCAGTCAGTGCTTAGTCTAATAGCACAACTATGGCTGTGCTAGTGGCTGACAAGTCATGTTTACTTGAACTAAGCCCCTAGCCACGAATAACAGCAATGTCCTGCCTGGGGTAGGTGGCTCTGTGTGGGGATAGAGTTGGAGTCACAGGCTATATTCCAAGCATGTAACTTGGCTTAACTCTGAGCTGAAAACATACTGTAAATACAGCAGTTCAGCTTCCAGGTGCAAGGAACTTCCTTGCCCTGTGCATCCAGAGTCCAACCTTACATACATCCTTTGCTGCCTGGACAGAAAGGTGTGCTATCTGAAAGCTGCTTGGGTAGCAATGCTGTAAAAACCCATTGTTTTATGCACAGATTTCCTGCAGCCCCTAGTGCGTGCTGGCTGCACATGGGAACATCATGGGATCTGGAAATGAGACATGTGAAGGTGTGCCAGAGTTTGTATGCCAAGGATCCATGCAGACTGTTACAAACAAAACATATACTGTCCATGTACTTCAAAATATGTATGTGCCCATATACAAGCTCCATGTCTCATGCATTCTCATTCGCGCTGCAAGAGATGTATCCTTCCCATGACAGAACGGGAAACAGACGGATAGATGCCCAAGCTTGGAGTGACAAGATGCTCTGTTTACTCTTCATGCAAAAAAAATTTTTGGTGGGCTTTTAAATGCTTTCTTTTTCCTTCTATTTAAAATAGACTTAAATCAGTTCGGCTCCTTTCTATACCTCTACAACTTTAAGCGAGGTCCATATAGTCATGTGCTGTTGGTTTAAATCAAGGCAGGTGCCGACGGCCAGCCGGACCCAGCACCTCCGGGGGTGGAGGGGTGGGCCTTTGTTTTGTTACTTTTCGTCCCGTTCAACTTTTCTTTATTATTACAAGTGCAGTTTTTCTGCCCCTGGCCCCGGGCTGTGCGGCCGGGCCGGGTCGGGCCGGGCCGGTGCTGCCCCCCGCCGGCGGCCGCGGGCAATGGCGGCGGGCCCGGCCCTGCCCCCGGCCGGGCGTGCCGCCCTTATGTAACGCCTTTATGTAACCGGCCGGGCCGCGCTGCCCCTCCTCGCCCCCCGCGGCACCGGGGCTGGCCGTGCTGTAACACCGACCTATGGAGGTGGCCGGGCCGGGCCGGGCCGGGCCGGCCCGGCCCTCAAAAGCCGTGTTCTGGCGTGTCGGTTGCGCGCCGCCCGCCCTGGGTGGGGTGCAGGAGGGGCAAGGGCGTGCCGGGAGAAGGGGCTCCAGCCTTGGCTCTGCAGGAGGAGAGCGCAGCGCTGCCGGGAAGGGCTTTGCCCGCGGATGGGAGGCAGGACTATGTGTGCGGGGAGCAGGGCAGCGCTGCCTGCGCTCCAGCAGCACCTCTGTGCTCTGGGATGGCCCTTGCTCGGGCCGGACGCTGCCCCCGCTCCGTGGTCGCCCCGCAGTGTGCGGCGCTGCCCCGGGAAGGATGACCCCCCATTCCCGGGGGGATCCGCCGCTGCTCGCACCTCGAGTGTCAGCGGCAGATAGCGGCGTTTTTACTTGGATGGCTTCGGCCTCCGCACCTCCTGTTGCTCCCTTGCAAGTGTGACCACGGTTCTCACCCCCTGGCGTGCAGCGGGAACTGCGGAATGTTTGCCGGGGTGCCATCGGCGTGCCCCGGGCCAGGGCAGCAGTGCCCCTGGCTGGGCTGCGACTGGCCTCGGGGAGCGCAGGAGGGAGCACCCGCCCCTGTGTAACCGAGGGGGGGAAACAGAGAGACAGGTGCTTGCCTCCCTGATCAGGGTGCTCAGCTGTGCCATCCAAAACCTGCCACTTCACCTCGTGCCTCAGTTTCTCCATCTGTGGAAACTAAGGTGGTGATTGAGTACCTGCTTGATGATGTGCCACTGAGGCTTAGTTCCTTGGAGGTCCTGGATTAAGGGAGGTGATGAGAGCTGATGTGCACAGTGCTCATAGACCGTTATTTCAGGCTCCAAGGCTTCGTGCTTTACTTGGATGACCTGTGCATCTCAAAATTGCTTCAGTGTTTTTCCCTACAAAGTGAGTCTCTGCACTGATTTGTTTTGAGCTGGAAACTTGCATATTTGTTTGCTTTTCAGACAATGCTGTTAGATTTCTGTATAACTCTCTCTATTCAGAATGCTACAGCCTTAGTTAATATTTGTCAAATGGAGCTCCGACTGTCTAAACCACTGGGACGAGTTTCATTTTATATGTCATCAGTAGGGGCAGAATGAGGAGCTTCGTGCTTGGCCTATTTGCTGTAATACAGTCTCAGGGCCATTGCATCAGAGTCAAAACAAGGAGCAGCTTGTTTCCAAACAAGAAGCATGGAGGAAAGTCTTCTCTGCCTCCTTCCCTGTAAGGGAAAAGAGAGGCAAGAGGGGGGGGTGGTGGGGGAAGAAAGTTATCTTTAACAGATTCTAAAAATGCCTTTTCCCAAATATGCAGTCAGTCCCTTCAAAGGTCTCTTTGTTTATTTTCAGGAAGAAACCCAAGACAGCTGAAAACCAGAAGGCGTCTGAGGAGAATGAGATTACTCAGACGAGTGCATGCAGCGCCAAGCCGGGCCTTCCCTGCCTGAACCTTGAAGCTGTTCCGTCTCTGAGCCCGGCCCTCATCCACTTTCCACATTCACCAACAAACCTGCACGCACACACAGGGTCATCTGATTGTGAGTACGCCAACATGCTGCTGGGTTGTACTGGGGTTCTTGAAAACACGTTCCCTGTTGTGGACTAGGTTTTCCAGTTGGATGCTCTTTCCATAATGTCATAAGCAGGACTTCCTCAGGGGTTACCTTTTCCCTTCTTTGGGAATTACCACTGAAACAGAGCATTTTTCTGTTAAGGTTGTGATAATGCAATCAGGCAGAGGAAACTGAGAGCATGTTGTTGAGTCAGGTTGCTGCTTCTTACAAATTAAAAAGGGAAGATTCCTCAAGCGTGTCTCTGTCCAACTAGAACTTAGTTGCTCCTCTCCAGGTAATCACATGCTTCTCATTACCCAAGCATATCTGCTGACTGGGGGGTTTCAGCCTGTGCTGTATTGCAGTGGTAGAAAACAAGTGTCTGGCTCTGGCACCCAGGATTGTAAAGGATTTCCACAAAGAAAAGGGAGTGTTTTGTGGAGAGAATCAGTTTGTGAGAGTCTGGAAAATCTTTGTAGACCTGTTTGGTTGTTAAGTTTTAAGGCCCTTGTTTTGAGTGCATTCACTTTCAGATTACTCAGCATGGGTTAATTGGCCTTTTAAAAATATTCTTTTCCATTTTGCCAAAAAATACAAAAATAAGGGAAGGAATGATTAAAACTGGATTTTGGAAAGTCGTAACTTACCCTGTCAGCTCTTCAAAACATTGTCATTTCACAGTGGTCCCTGCCTGGAAGTCTCTTGAGCAAGAATGTGCAGGCTACTGTGAACCTCATCATTCCCTAGTTTTAGAATATGTAGTTTACCTCTCCTGCGGTGTTTTTAGGATGTTGTAAAATTTACAAGAGGTGGGGAAGAGAAGAAAGAAAGATGACACCAAGTTTCAAGAGCTCGGAAGCCAACCAGACTCTGCAAAAACCTATAAAAAAAATCAGGGCATGACAATGAAAAATCAGATTAAAAAGTATGTGTATTCTTTTCTTTTTTTAATTTAAAAATCCTGCCTCAGGGCCAAGCTTGGAAGCAGTTGGGTTATAGGGATCATCACTATCAAAATCGCTTTAGCTGCAATTCATTCCTGTTGGCTTCTGACTTTATTCATTATGAGCTTCTGCGAGAGATCTTGATTTTAATAGAGGTGGTAAACATTGGGGAGACTTTCCTAAATCTCACCTGGTGATTTGGGGAGAAGAAAGAGATGTGAAACAATTGAACAGCAGGCAGCATGCAATTTGGTATATACAAGAATTCTCTTCAAATTGGAGATGTCAGGCTCTTTGTTAAAACTAGGGTGCAGTTTTGTCTTGTAATGTTTTCTGAAAACAAAAAGCTTGTGAAAAGATGTAAAAAAATGAGCAGAACAACAAGAAAAAATAATCCTTATTTTCAAACAAAGAATCCCTTTATCCCATTCACAAAGATGAAAGAGTTCATTAGTAAATGGGATTTGAAACCTCACATTGATGTTTTTTGACAGTACAAATGGAAACCCATGAAAGCAACCTTAGGACAGAGGCCAGCAGGGATTGTAGGGAACTTGGAGAATGAAATCCTGCTTTTGCTTTCTGAAGTGGCCAAGTTCAGGGGTGAGGAATATTGGCAAAGGGCAGCAGGGGGAGGTGGAGCCTGCAGCTCTTCATGCTCTACCTGTTCTGTGTACAGTGTTTTTGACTCCTAAGTTTTTAATGTTCCCAAATCATCTTCCAGATGATCGCAAAGATCTTTTCCAACCTAAGCAATTCTATGATTCTATAAATATGAATAAACTGCCAGGTTAGATGCTCCTTTCACAATGAAAGTGTGGAGTTTTTTTCAGAAAAGAGGTTTAATAACAATTGCACCAGCAATATTGTCCTACCATGAATTGTTGAATTTTAGTTCCCAAAATTTACAGTTCTACAAAAATTCAGGAAATGGTAAGACCTCTTGTGGTGTTCATCTCTGTTAGCTGATTCCATATGCTTTGAAACCCATAGAAAAACTTTCATTATTTATGATGGGTTATGACCTTTATCAGGCTGTATTTGTTTGGGGTGGTATGCACATAATTATTGTTTGGCATGCCTTTGCAAAATAGCGATGTCAATTTCCCACATGAACTAAAACGAGGCATGATGAATATTTACTGTATGTTTACTATAGCTTTCTCTCAGGTTCTGTGGTGTGTTTTTTTAATATCACCTCAAGCCTTACTGCTGGAGTATGTTCCTTGACACGAGAGATTAATATTTTTGGCTCCCAACATTTGAAAAAGGCCTGTCATTACAAATTCCTTCTCCATCACCTGTCGTGATGCTTTTCTTTTTTAGGCCAGCAACACTTCCTGTCCTTCTCTCTACCTTCTAGACAGTACAACATTGCTCTCCTCTCTTGCCCAGACTATCACACTGCCTCTTCCCCCACAGCTGGGCAGATTACGTTTCATTTTCAAAGGACATTCTTTATTCTGGTGGGGAGTTTTCTAGTGGATGGCAAATAGTATAAAAATACTTAAAAACTGTGTTAGATAGGAAGTTTATGGAAATTTTAGTTGAAAATATCAGAAATACCCAGAAAGAGTCAGCATGGTAGGGTATATGAATTCTTGGAAAAATGCACAGATGTACAGATGGTTTCATAAGGCCTAATTCATGTATCTGGACATAATACTTGGATTTTGTGGGCCACCTATTCAAATCAGTTTGAAATCTTCACTGACCATTTTGCATGCACAGTCACTAGTGCTTGGCAGAAAACACCACCACATATTTATTATGAGAATTATTCAGAAGCCAATCTACTTTAAAATATCAGGGTGCTTTTGGAATGATTCAGATCAAAATAGTTTTTCCAAGCATAGGAAATAAAAACTCTATGCTAGCCATCTGCTCCTCAGCTGTAAAAGGCAGAGGTGAAGAAAGCCTAAGCAATAGTAGGAATACCACTCTTACTGATATGAATGCTTAGCAAAAAAACCCGTGGTTGAAGTCGTATGTGACTCCCAGTTTAATTTAGGGTTTAATTGTATAACATAGCATGTTCTACATGCTGTTTCTGGTGCCACTTATTCCAAATGAAATTGTATTATTTCTCACACTTGTAGAACTGGGTCCTACCATTCTGGATTTGAGCATTACATTTCCAGCACGGATGAATCCTTGAAGCAAAATCCAGAACGTAGGATGCATTGTGTCCAGTTCCATCTCCTTCAGTCTTGGGAAATACTAATTCATGCAATGCAATTGGAGAAACAACCTAGGGGAAGAGGTCTTCCTGAGGTAACTGTTTTCATGGAGGGCTTGGCAGATAAAAAGCACCACTTTGAATTAATTTGGAATTAAGTGATAGAGTAAGCTGATAGAGCTCCAGCTGAGTTATACCTCTAGCTACTCAGCTGTCACAAACAGATGTAGCTGCTTCAAAAGAAAGGTGTTTGTGCAAAAGGCTGCAAGGCCAAGCACAGTTTCTGGAAAGGTTACAAAAAAGCAAAGGAAAGCAAATGAGATTTGTGCTATTTGCAGTTTTTCTCGTGTTTCCTTGCTTGTGGATAGAGAATGCATAAAGTTGGTAGGGTTCTAGTTCAAACACTGAACTACCTCAGGTAAAGCTTCTGAAGATTTTACTGAGAGGAAGAAAGTCATCAGGACTTGGCTGTATTTAAACTGAGTTGATCTGTATAGGCCACTTATTTCAGGAGCATTTCATAACTATATATGTTCTACAAGTGCTAAGAGATAACATCATTTTGGCAGAAAGTTTCTCAGAGATACAATCAGACAAAAACTTCATTCAGGCTCTGATGTATGCATCTTAACAGATGTGTCCAAACTCAAAGGAATCCCACGGGAACAGTGTAACTGAATCTCTTTGTCTCTATTGATAGTTAAAAGAGTTATTCTTAGATATTGGATGGTCCATCTGTGACGAAATTTGTTCCAGACTAGACAAAAGCAACATCTTTGCGAAGAATTTCCATGGGACTGAGAGACAGGTTGGACAATCACTGGAAAAACTTCTGAAGCAATTTTTATGATTTTAGAGAACACAAAATTCTTGCAAAGACCTGAGATTCTGGTAAGGAATGAATTGAGAAGGAAAGTAAGGCTTGAATTTTTTTTGAAAAATCCATTCAACAATCATTGGCAAGATGTTTGAAATAGGAGAGGACTTTATAAAGTTATGTTTTAGCAAGGGACCAGGGAGTTTTTGTGCATTAAATAGAATGCACTTTATAAACACTGTCAGTGGTAGACTACATCTGAACTTTATGCCCCTACATGCTCAAGTAACATGACTGAGTTGGTCTAATTCCAGCATTTTCCAGCTTTCACAGGATGGGAACTTTGAAGCAGTCTGGTTTTTTTTCCTTCTAAGTTCTGATTTTTGTAGCTTCATGGCCTTCCATCGTGGCAGGGAAAGTCAAGAGAGGAAAGCTCATGAGGTTCCTGAGCTCCACAGAGCACTGAGAGTAGATATGGAAACTCTGGGTTCCATTTTCTTGAGCAGCTAGAGGGACCTACCATTCTCTTCCCATGAATCTGCAAGTTTGATTTGCCTGGGGCTAATGTAGAGGCTAGATGGATCTGAAGGTGATTTGGCCTCATCTTTACGTTTTAGGTTTCCTGTGTTTCTCTTTGAGGTTCTGTGGCAGGAAGAGAATGGTTACATGGCCTTATGGTCTTCCCTCTCCCTCTGGAAATTTGTGGCTATGATTCCCTAGGAACTGCTTTGGAGCTTTCACATGGTTTCCACTCTCAGTGAGGAGAAGAGGGGCCCTGATTCTAACAACTTCTTTGTTTATAGTCAGACAGTATGTCAATAGTAATTTCATCTGTGTTTTTGCTGATCTATGTATGGTATGTCTTAGCTAATGCTGAATATTTTTAGGTTGTTTTTGATGACCTAAGAAATGATGTATGTTTAGATATCTATTTTAGATGATATAATAATAATGATACAGGCCTTTTCTGTAGAAAGCTAAACTGAAAGCAAGGGTACCCATAGTTCTCAAATACTAGTGTCACAACACTTAATTATACTTTCAT